CCCCCCCCCCCCCCCACCCAACCCCTCTTGTCCATCCACATCTGAGAAGTGGTCTTGCAAATCCATTGGAATGGTTATTACGGTGTCCGTTTCCAAAGCTTCCTACTGGTGTGCAGCATCCTATCATCAATTGATTATCTTATTATCAAACAGCAAAGTGTATTTGTTTGTGTCCCTTCAGCTAATTGTGCCAGGTTCACCAATTTATCAAAATATCTTTCGTAATATAAGATCACATCTTAATGCGATGGAAGTGTTTGTGGTAGCCGACAAAGAGCACTGAACAGCTGTTTCGTTCTGTTTGGGACTTGTCAGCAGTTTGTACTTTTTGTTTTCCTGTCAGGACTCGAACCATGATTATTCGGACTGGAACTTCAAACCCTTACCTCTGAGGCACACGGTCGACAGTCATCACCTTGTGTGAATCGCTCAATCAATTTTGGAGTATCAAGCTTAGATTAGCTCATTTAATTGTTCAGAGAAACCAGACACTGTTGATGGTCTTGCGTCGATTATCAGAAACATGTCCATCGCAGTCAAATGCATTCAATCAGTGGGGAATCAACAATCTCCCAAGGAGTGAAACCCACACCCAAGACCACCAAGAGTGCCTGGTGCCTCTGAACAATCAAATGGGCTAATCCAATCTTGATACTCCAAAAAAATCGCATCGTTCACCGAACTTGTTGCCTTTAGACTTACTCCCAAGTGGTAACAACCGCTTTGGTGAAATAAATCAACTTGCTTCGTTTGGTAAATGAATGATACGGACCAGTATGTGACAGGCGCGAAAACCAAACAATATCAAAACACTCACCAAAAGAATTTGCAATCACATTTACGCTCGCTCTCGTATTCGAACGTGTCGTAACCGCGATCACAACAGAGTCGAGAACAGGAGTTCGGTGCGTCCGTACTACTGGCGTTACACAAACGGCCTGCAATACCCAAATGACCTGTGGACAAGAAACAAAGTGTATACATTGTAACCGTTGCTGAATGAATGAACGAATTAATGGGGCTGACGGAAAGCACAATTTCCTTGTCTAATACATCTTTAGCATCAATACTTACCGATTGAAGGATCATATCGGCAGTAATTGGGTGATTCCTCTAAGTAGACCAGTTTCGCTTTGCTTAATTGACCGGAACCCATTGAACTACGTGGCCATCTGCGGCGTCGCCATGAATTCGACTCTGGTGTCATTGTGGAGGGAAACGTGGGAACCGCGACACCACCACCGCTCCGAGTTCGAACTGGAACAAACCAATCCATTTGAGGTCGAACGCTCATTGGTCGCCCTTGGTCGTAACCGACCGACCGAGTTCCGTAGCGAGACATCAGACGATTATGGAAGGCATAAGATTCAATTGGTTTCAGACGATCCCCGCGGGGTTCATATGTGACTCGGACAGCCTCATCGTAGGCCGATTTGAGCATACTCCCGACACGACGAAATTCGTTCACTCTTTGCCAACAAGTGCGCATCGAACAGGCCCCACTGACCCCGTGGCATTTGCATTTGCGTACACGATTGGTCCAAACCAACTTGAATGAAAACGAATGAAATCGAATCGGAATTAATTAATCCAACTGTAAAACGAATCAGGTCACGAGAAGTGTGATTTGCTTTATTTCATTGATGAACGAGTAGCTGGATGCCAACTACAACCCTCAGAGTGCAGAATTGTTTTTGTCATTTGTTTACGTGGTTAAATAAAGTCAGGGATCTTCTTAATTAATTTGAGCACAAAACGCTTGAGCCTTCAAATAAAGTGTATGACAAATTACAACGCTTCGTTGATCATTGTGATTGAATTACACTGTTCCGATTAGTAACAAATAGAAAATCATTCTCATTCGTCAGTGAGGTGTCTCAATCACTCGAATGTTGTCATTGAGTAGATAGAAAATTAGGGTAAATGTGACGGGGTTTA